AAGCTGCATCAGATTGCTTGCACATGCTCAGCTGGTGGCCTATGAGTACTTCTTCATTCTTCTCACATTGAGTGCTGCCAAGCCAGCTTTCCCTATCCTTAATCTATTCCTATCCTTTATCCCTCTGGCTTGGTGTAATCCGCAAATTTAATACGAGCCCCTTCCATTTACCTTCTAGGCCGTTTATAAAGATGCCAAATAGCGTAAGGCCAAGAATGGAGCCCTGAAGGATCTCACTCAGTCGTTCACTACAGTTTGATATAGAATTATTTACAGAGGCAGATTTTCTTCTTTTTTCTCCCTCTCTCTTCTAAACTTTTATTTACAATATAATGAGAATAGATACATATAACCTTTAATTAAATTATCTAGGAGACTTTTCAAATAATTGCAAATCTTCTGGATGTAGTACCTTCTAACCCACATCTGTTTTAAATACAAGGATCTCATGAGAGACAGCCATGTGTTTTACTGAGATCAAGGCACACTCCACTGACACTATTCTTTAGGTCTAACTAGTCGCTTGGTGATAAAAAGTGGTAGGGTTGCTCTGGCACAATTAAATCTTGATGAACTTATGTTAGCTATTGGTAATGGTAGTAGTCTTATCTAAGCATGTTGCTTGACAATCTGTTCTAATTTTTTGCTCAGTACAACTTGTTTGTAGTTTTCCAGGTCCTTCCTCCTTCCCTTTTTGAATATTTGAAGTACGTTTCCTCTTCTGTATCTGCTGGCATTGCACCAGTTCTCCAGAATTTTTTTAAAAATTACAGGCAATGTTTTGAGTTCTGGTCCTGGCAAGGTAGTATGATAGGTCCTTACTATACCTTTGAGGATCCTGAACTGTGCCACAACCATCCTTCGCTCTGGAATCCAGCAGGCCCCCTCCCTTTTAGCCTTTAAGGACTAGCTTTTCTCTCAGGTGCTGGGATACAGTAAGGCTAGAACTTGAGGATTATATGGATTGATGGATTGGAGATCGTGGGTCATGAGCTTGGTTTTCTTGTTTCTACTTGTTTTCATAGAAAATACTGTAGTGAGAGAGCTTTAGTATTAAGAATAGGGCTTTGGAATTTACTCGGGGGGGCGGGTTATGGAATGCAGGTAGTTTTGGATAAAAAGAATTATAAGCTGTTCAGTGGGAGGGGAAGTGGGAAGTGAAGGATAAAATCAGGACATTTGACATATGTCAAAATGGTGATAATTGGGGTTAGGGAAATAGAGAATGAGAGTGTGGAAGAGATGCTAGGCATTTTGGAGATGCCATTTGGACAGTAAGGGAATTCTGTGCAACCTTGGTTACTCCAAGGTTACTCCAGTGAGCTGCCTTGAGGAGAGCTGGACCCCAGGAGATTAGTAGAAGGACCTGTTGCACGTGAGCTGTGGAGACAGCGCTGCCAGCAAGCGTTCTTAATCTGCCAGGGAAAGTAAGGCATTATCCTGAGTGCTACGAAAGTGGAAGTGAGAACGATTGTGGCTTTGAGCTTGAGAGGTTTGGCCTGAAATGAAACTGAGAGGCAGGGATGGAGTGGTACCAGAGTCTGGGTAAGACGACTACAGAATGCTGCTAAGAGATGTGAGGAGGGAGGGGTATGTAGTCTTTGCTTGAGCCTTATTGGTTGGGATGGAGTCATTCTGAGTTCCCAGGAAGAATAAGAAAGACACTTTCTGTGTTGTGCACTCCAGGTAAGGACTGGAGAGGGTTGATGGGGGCACCTTCTGAAAAAACAGGAAGGGGCTGGGAGGAGAGATAGGGATGGTGGGCACTTCCCAGCCTGAGATGTTTGAGGAAGATTGGGGAGAGTCTTTAGCTTGATAGATAGAGTAGGTAGGCAAGGTGAGGCAAGGCAAGGCAAGGCAAGATGGGTGGTTACAGTGAATGCTGATTGTATATGTAATTAACCAGCCTACTCTGGAGAAATGACCACGCAAGGTGGCTAATACTGGTGGAGTGGATATAGCCCATGAAAGCAAGGGGGCGGGTCCAGTTCTCTCTGGGGTTGTGTCAGCCTTGCGTGGTAGTCCAGATAAGAAGAACACCCAGATGAACTAATCCTACTTTATTATAAGGTTACATTAACAGAGTCTTGCCAGACTGAAAGTAGTTCTCCCCTCCTCTCATTTTAGTCTCTGGAAAACTAGGGAGAGTCCCTTCCCATGCTTTTCCCCCACTTGCAGACTCAGCTGCCTCTTATCAGACTGTTGCCTAGGCTGTGGGTCTTCCTCCTGTCTCCCACTGACTACTCCCAGATACCATTACAGGGGCTGAATTGAAATCATGATGGGCTGGGGAAGATATGGCGGGGGACACAGGGTAGGTGGTTAATGAAGAAGGGAGACTCACCCTTTGCTGCAGGTCCCTTCTAAGCCAGCTGCCCCAGACGGCCAAATCCCCTGCAGAAATGAAGAACATTCCTGTTTGTTGTTTCTTGACCTTGCCTACTTCAAAAGGCTGACAGATCTGGAACACAGTGGCAATACAACTGATGGGCAGGTCTCTCTGCTGCAGGGTAGCCTCTCCCCAGACGTTGCTGCCCTGGTTATCAGTAAGCTTCTGGACCCCATTCAGAATGCTCTCATGATCTGTAAAGCCCTGTATGGTATAGCACTAGGTTGCAGGAAAAATTTCTCCCACAAGTTTCTCCAAGGGTTATTTAAAGCTGGAGACCAGCACCCAATTTCATTGATACACAGATTGTTTATTTTTCAAACTGGAGTCAGCAAAGCTAACTTAAAAAAGGGCAGGATGCAACCTGCCTCTCTAGGGTTGTGCATGGGTTGGATAGCAGCAGGTCAGATGTTTACCGAGGAAATTAAGGGCAGAACAAGGACATAATTGAGGACAGGACCACAAAGACTGTGGTGGTTTTTGAGAGAACCATGAACATAGCTTCTTTTTAGAGAGTCGCTCCTAAACGGTTCCTGGTTCCCAGAGGCTATGCCTACATCCTAGTATCTTCTCCCAATCTTATCAACATTCCTTGGCCCTCCAGGTGATTTAGGGCTGGGCTGGGGGTTTATTGTTGCTCAAGTCCTTGGGAAGGTAATGAGGGAGGGGGTGGTGTTGCTTTATTTCACTTGTCCCAAACAGTGCCATGTCAACTACAATATCAGGCACCCCCTTGCTGGAGCTGAATCTGTCTATGCAGTGAGAACATCTTGGGAAGGCTTGTTAAGGGTCCTTTGCCTGAAATGAGGGGGACATGGATGAGATCACAGGCCTTCTCTGCGCTGTCCATCCATCCCACCTTTAGAACTCCCTCTCTCAGGGGTTTTTAGAAGTCTTTATAGACAGTTTCATTTCAACTAGGGCCTTCAACCCTAGTTAGGTTTATTGGCATCCATATTGGGGGGGGGAGATTTATTATGTGATATATTACTACTTTTATTTTTACAATTTGATATTATTGTTGCTTTTATAATTTATCATGTTTGTTGTAATCTACCCATGGGCTTTTAATTTGAGAGGTCCATAAAAACTATTACTTAAATCTTGGAATTTTATTTCCCCCCAAATACTTCCAAATTGGGTACAGTAAACTATAATTTCTTAATGCATAAAACTGAAGATCAGCTTTAATTATGGCTGTTATTAAACTTATCTATGTTAGGGGATATTGCATCCTAAAATAGTTTAGGAATATTAGCCATTACATCTTTCTCAAACACTGCCAGTCTCCTTAACTGGAAAAACTCTGGACTTCATAACAAACATTTTTTATAAAATTTGTATTGAGAAAGAAAAGGCTGCATATAAGTAGAAAAATATATCTTAGACCTCGGAAGGAGGATGCAGGTACATAATTTTATAGCTTTCCAAGTGAAATATAATGTTTCCATTATACTGAATAATAAATGTTAAAAGTGGATAGAGATTGAAGAAGCCTATATATATAAAATTCAGTACCTTTTTTTAAACAAGAGAACGTAGTTAAAATTGGATGAAGGGAATGTATTTTAAAAAATGGGAGTGTTCTACTTTCACTACAGTAAGTGGTCAAAAAAATTAGCACCGTATCCTTCCCCATTAATGGCTTTGATGGAACACAGTCTTTTCTGGAATATGTAATGGTTGTTTTCCGATGTTCTTTGAACTTGCTTTTCTATCTGTGCAGAGGGAAGTGGAGTTGGCTGGCTTGTTTATGTGCAGTAGCTTATCCTACCAGCCTTAATTGGGTTGTTTTTTCCTTGATTGTTCCTGTTTATTTGGTGCTGGTTTCTACCTGTTTTGTCCCACAAATGTAAAAGTATTGTAGACAATGAGATAGAAATGAATAAATTTATAACCATTAAAGGACTGTTTTATACTTGGTGGAATAATATCTAACAGATAGAAATCTAACACTTTAGGACTAAACTGGTTACAGTATCTACATGTTCTACCGTACCTCAGAGATTAAGATGTAAAGGAAATAACTTTACAACCTCTAATTAAAAAGGAATGTAATGTCACTGCCCTGCTAGATATAGATAGGTGTTACTCAAATTGGGCCTTTGCTTTCTTCTTTAACATTTCACTAGATGGCGTTCTTGGATTTTGAAAGCGGGTGTTACAAGCTGGAAAGGCCAACTCTGAATGACAATGTTTAACCTGTCTTAATAGCAGCTTTTAAGCAAAACTGCACTACTTGAAAAGTTAACCTGAAACAAACGTATTTTGTCCTTGAGGCAAGCCAAGGAACTTCACATTAAAATTCAGCAGTGCATTTATATATTTGCATAAGGATTAGGGATGTTAGTTGGCTCCTAAGAGAGAAGGTCGTCTTAGGTGTAGGTTACCACTTTTGCCATAGCATGCACACCAATGTCTTTAGACTAGTATACTTACCTCTTCCAAGACAGTTTTATGCCTTAGGGATGCTTGCTTTTATATAACAGCATTGCAGTACCCTTGTTCTCTATCCAGAGTACTTTGGTTATTAGCCAGATTAAAAATATAATAAATGCATGAAATGTATGCAGGTGTATTGTTAAATCCTGCGCTGCTTTTTATTTGCCAGACACGGTTAAGAAGCTTCAGGATCAAAAGCATGACATGGAAAGAGAGATCAAGACTCTGCACAGGCGACTTAGGGTAAGTCATCAAGTTTAATGCACTGTATTCAGGAGAAGCAGCCAAGGGCGTACAAGAGCTGGGATACATCTGTGTCCTTTGAGGTTTAAGCTGTTGCTTTTATTTTCTTGCTGATTTTGTGTTTTATTCTGGTGTCCTCCTTCAGATTGCCTTGGTGCCTTGGGCAGAATTTAATAATGTGGCTGATAACTTTTTGCTGCTAGTTAATTTTTTTATTTGGTCCGATTAGCTTCTTGTTTTCTTTCATAATGATTTCAAAAGAATGCATGTCTCTTCTACCATTCTTTCTTCATAGATTCATAAGGAACCACTTAGGTCATTAGATGCCACAGCCTCCTTTGGGTAGGAATCCAGAAATAAGGGATTCTACATGGCTGTTAAGACCCCACTTGAGCACATTCATGAAAGGAAGCCTGCCCCCTCTCTTGGTCATTCATTCTGCTCTCAAACTGCTCAGTGAGATCAGACTGACACAGAATATATACTGGAACTATACTTTCTATGATTTGGGAACCACACCTGCCTTTGCCTTTTTGCAGCCATAGTGTGCTGCTGAATCATGTTCAGTATCTAATCAACTGCTGTCGCAAGATCCTGTCCCAAAACTACTGCCAAGTGAAGTATCCCTCACTCTAGATCTCTGTATCTCATTTCAGCTTAACATTATTTCTGTTAAATTCCATAATAATATTTTCAGCCCATTTCTCTAAGCTATCATGATCTTTTTGAATGTTGTTTCTGTCTTCCAAGTCTGTACTATTCCCATTTAATTTTGCTTTCTTTGCAGATTTGCTAAGCAGCCTTTCCACATCCTCACCCACAATATTAATACAAACATTAAAGAATGCAGGGCCCTTGAAGGAACCTTGTACAACCCATTCCAGTCTCTACAGCTCCCTCCAATTTGATAGGGACCGTTGAAAAGCACTTTTTGTTTGATTTTTGAGCCAGCTCCATGTGCACACTTGCTGATTAGCATGCCATGGGATACTTCGTCAAATAGTTTGCTATAATCAAGTGTATTTTATCTATAGCATTTATTCTACTAAGATTACTAGATCAAAAAATAAGATTAATCTGGAATAACTTGTTTTTGACAAATTTGTGCTGACTGTATTCACCATCTTGTTTTCAAGGTGTTCACTGATCAAATTCTTTATGATTTGTCCTAGAGTTTTCCAGAGTATCGGTATCAGACTTCAGGTCTCCCCTTCCCCTCCTTTTTGAAAATAGGGACAATATTTGCCCACTTTGCAGTTGCCTCAGTAGTCTAGGATGCAATTCATCTGTTTCTCAATCTTTACATCCATTCAAAATAATTGAGTATTCCTTCACCCAGAGTTTCACAACGTGTGGGTTGCAAACCCCAGGAGGATTGCAAGACAGTTGGTGGGGGGGAGGCAGGGGATTGTCATGAGAGAGCGCTTCCCTGCCTGGTCTTCTCAAGTAGGCTGTCAGCCCCACCAGATAGACCACACCACAGGAAGGCTAAGATTACGTTTATTGAGAGGGGCTCTAATGACAGAACTTTGCAAGTCTGACTGTGCTGTACCTCCTCCCCTTTCTTATACTCTGGTAAATTAGGGAGGGGTCTGTCTGAACCTCTTCCAAATATTTTCTGTCTGTTGTGGACTTGAGATATGTTTCTCTCCTTGTTGCTTTGGTAAAGGATCTTGCATATCTCTGTCAAGATCACTTTCCTTACTCTCTACATAGGCTTACTAGTTCTGTGCAGAAGTAGGTTGAAGACGAAGCAGCATAGGAAAGTTAGGTGTTTTTTTCAAAACATTGTCTTTGCCTTTGAAAGGAGGGGAAATTAGGGGACCCAAGGTTCTTATGCCAACCTCTGATCCTCCCCAGAAGGAATTCAGCAGAGGAGGAGGGGCTTTGAGGTTGCAGCAAAGAAGGAGTTGCAAGAGGGAGGTGGGGAATTTACAAGCACCAGGCAGAAAGGGAGAGAGGAAGCACAGTGTGGCTGTACTGGGAGAGAGAACCCAAAGCAACTTACAGTCTGCCGCTGTTTTGCGAGCTGCAGCATTTTAAGAGTGCTTTGGGAGAAGCTGGCTTAAGCAAGGAACAATGTCCTTTGTGGTGCCTGTAGCAACCCAGACAAAGGAAACGTTTTTTAAAATTTTTTATGAGCTTTGGTGAATGAAAGTAATTGCACAGAATAAAAACTGGGGGTAAGGACTAATAATCAGATTTTCCCATGCTATTCCTGATCCCATTCAGAAATTAACACTGGAGTCGCTCATTGACTATGGGCCTGTCCCAGATTATCCGTGACCCAACTTGGGACAGTGGTCTCACACCAGGCTTGGTTTTCTTGTCAGAGCAGTGGCAATGTGATCTGAAGGAGGAATTGTCATGGTCAGATCATGTCCTGGTGGCCTTGAGATTCTCCTATGCTACTCCCCTCCGCAGGGAGGTAGGACCCATTCAATCAGTCCACCCCCCGCAACTGATGGACCCAGTTGGGTTCCAAAGGGAGTTGGGGGTTATACCCAAGAGTCTGCTGCACGGTCCAGTGGAGGCTTGGCTGCTACCTGGAATAGGAAAGCATCCAAGGCCTTGGACAAGATTGCGCCTGTGCAGCCTCTCTTGACCCATCAAACCCGACACTCCCCGTGGTTTACGGAGGAGTTGAGGGTTTTGAAAAGGGTTAAAAGATGTCTAGAGCACTGCTGGAGGAAAATAAGGACTGCCCCCAACTGAACACAAGCTAAAGCCGCTATTAAGGCCTACCTTGTGGCGGTAAGAGCGGTGAAACGTCAATATTTCTCCACTGTTATTGCATCTGCAAAATGCCACCCAGTGGCCCTGTTTAAGATCACACAATCTCTTTTGGGAAAGGGGAAGCTCAGTAGCCCATTTACAGGGCTACGCAGAGGAATTTTCTAGGATCTGGAGGATAAAATCGCTTAGATCCAGTTCCAGTTGGATACCAAGCATGGTCTGTAGAGATGCCCAGGGTACGTTCTTACCCTGTTATCTGGGAGGAATTTGATCCTGTTGAACCCGAGGAAGTGGATAGGGTCCTCCAGATGGTCAATGCCACCACCTGTCAACTAGAACCATGTCCCTCCTGGCTAGTTAAAGCTTTGAAGAGGCACTGGTGCACCCACTCCTCAAGAAGCCATCACTGGATCCCACCATACTGGACAATTTCCATCCGGTCTCCCACCTTCCCTTTTTAGGGAAGATGGTTGAGAAGGTGGTGGCATTGCAGCTCCAGAGGATCCCTTTTCAGTCAGGTTTCAGGCCTGGATATGGGATGGAAACAGCATTGGTTGCACTCATGGATGATCTCTGGCGGGAGCGGGATGGGGGTAGTACATCCATCCTTGCTCTTCTTGACCTCTCAGCGGCTTTCTTTTGAGTTGACTTGGGGAGTTGGGAGTGGGGGGCACAGTTTTGCGCTGGTTCTCTGCCTTCCAAGGTTGATCCCAATTGGTGTTGATTGGGGGCGAGAGGTCCAGCTCATGGCCCCTCCTTTGGGGCGTGCCCCAGGGTTTGGTACTCTCTCCACTCCTTTTTAACATCTACATGAAACCACTGGTTGAGATCATCCGCCAACATGGGATGAGGTATCATCAATATGCAGATGATACATCTCCATCCCAGGTGAGGTGAGTGATGCTGTGACCACCCTTTCACGGTGCCTGGAAGCTGTGGGGGTCTGGATGGGGTACAACAGGCTTCAGCTGAACCCTGGTAAGACAGAGTGGCTATGGATTGGAGGCCTCTCTGTATCCAAGGATTTACCATCTTTGGTTTTGAACAGGGTTGCACTGCCCTGGACAGACCCAGTGCGTAATCTGGGGGTCCTCCTGGACTCATGGCTCCTGCTCGAGAAGCAGATGGCAGTCGTGGCCAAGAGAGCCTTTGCCCACCTCCGTGCAGTATGCCAGTTATGCCCCTTCCTGGATCAGGAGGCTCTCCGGTCAGTCACTCACGCCCTGGTCATCCCTCAGCTAGACTGTTGCAATGAGCTCTACATGGGGCTACCTTTGAAGAGTATCTGGAAACTACAGCTGGTCCAAAATGCGGCCACGCGGACAATTTTGAGTGCCCAAAGAACGGCACATATAACACCTTTACTACGCGAGCTGCATTAGGTCCCAGTCTGCTTCTGGGTCCAATTCAAAGTGTTGGTTATCACCTTTAAAGCCCTACATGGCGTGGGTCCAGGTTACCTGAGGGACCATCTTACCCCCGTCACATCAACCCATCCCACCCGGTCAGGCAGAGAGGGCATGTTGTGGGTCCCATCAGCGAGAATGTTGACTGGAGGGGCCCAGGAGGAGAGCCTTCTCTGCCGTTGCCCCCGCCCTTTGGAACGTTCTCCCCCAGAGGTGCGGCATGCCCCCGGCCTTCTGGAAAGAATTAGACCTGGCTCTGCCAGCTTGCGCGGAGTGATAACAACCTTACCCAATCCTGGGGGTGGCTAGTGC